GGGGAGGGGGGAGTCAAGTTAGACGAGGCAAAAACTTGCTTCAGATACATTTTTCTTATTACATATAGATTCAACATAACTTACATGTCCTCACAAAAGAAAAACAAAGCAACATATGACATGGAAGCCAAAAAAGTACAAACAAGAGACAGCGCAAACACCAATACTTACATAGGGGAGGGGGGGAGGGGGGGAGAGGGGGGAGGGGGTGAAAGAGTGACTAGGGCGTACACGATAGAGGTGCAGACCGCTAGTGTCTTTTGCTCACGCAGAGTCTTATCCTATTAGGTCCATTGACCCTCTCTTGAGCCTTGAAGCAGTCAAGCATGGACACACTATATCAGCTGTTGGAGTGGAACCCTGTACAGGTAGGCTCTACTTTTCAGCAGGCACAAGATTCATGTCCACTTCTAGCTGATTGCGTATGTCGCATACTCTTTTTCTACTGCAAGGCTAAAACAGTCCAGTTAGCTCTGACAACTTAAAAGAAAACTACGGTGCCATGTACTTACCTAATCCAGTGTATTTTCACACTTCAGAGAAGGTAATCTCATAGCTACTAAATACAGTGAGGGAGCAATAGCTGACTCACCTCAAGTACAAAATCAAAGCGATAATGTACCTCGGCTGGAGACTGTACTTTTCGCTGGCGAAGATACCATGTACCGGCGCTCACTAGCTCTTTATGGCCTGAGCTAAATCAACTAAAAAGGGAAAGCGGCTTCTTACACAGAGACCTATAAAAGCAGTAAACGACACTCGCGTAACAAAGAACTAAAAATTCAAGACCGCACAGTGCAATGAATTAAGATGCCTTGCAAAATGCAAGGAGCGTACGGTCCGAGGAATAATCTTCTCGTGACGTGGTCTCGACCGCTTTCATTCACAGACAAAATAAACTGCATCAAAAGGACTCTCTTTCACATTCACATCAAAACACAAGAAGGAGATACCGGCAAATGTATGTACAAAAATCTTGCACTACAATTGCAAATCATGAAATGACTTAATCATCAACCATGACTGGTTGTCCATTAGAGGTCACTTCATAAGAGCGGTGATGATAGATATCATCAGTTATGTAAAACTGTCCATACCTATCTACATGCTAAAGCGTATAAACCTGGAATGCAGGAGTATCTTCTTTGATAAAAAGTTTCTCCTCATTGCAAACCAGAGTTCATTAGAACTTCAGCCTGGCAACTTAAAGTCAAGCCTGGAAGCAAAGTATCAACTGTAACCAGAAGTATCTTCACTTCCTAGCCATCATTTAAATTTCAGCCTTCGCTCAGTAATTATGCCGCTGCAAACGATGGAGTTGCTTGATCAGAAGTTGGCGGCCTTCCTTTCCTTTTATTCTGCTTTTGTCTCTCCTTCCTCCGCACGTTCGCCTCTTGAAGCGTTGGTCCCATGCGATACTGTCTTCTGTCTCCAGATGAAAGGGAAGCTGGTCTGAGTGAAATAAACATTGGACCATGACTATCCTCGTCAGTGGGCCTTGAGCACATAACCTCTGTGTCAATCACCGCAAAGTTCTCTGAAAAGTTACAGATGAACTCCTTCGTGCTCACTGTGGAATTTTCATATTCCTCTTCACTCATTGAATGACCCCATTCAACAATGGTAGACAAACATGTATCGCCAAGCCTTGATCCTTGGTATTCTTCCTTTTCAACAGTAGAATATTCTTCCCAGAGTTTGTCAAAGTAATCTTCACAATTCTTGAGGACTTGTGAAGTTGAACTATAAAATGTTCTGGGAATAGGTGCTTTGATACCAGGATCTGCTTTTACACGAGCTTCTGAAAACCTGCGGATCCAATGCTGCATGGTGCTGTAATAGTAGTTAGCCATTGGCTGCCTTTTGTACCCAGACATTCTGTAGGCCAAACTATTTGCATCACCAGAAATGATGTCCACCTCATAGACAAAACACTCGTAAAGCATCAATGCTGTCTGTTCTCCTGTCAGTAGGTGGGCATCCACAGCACGGTGTGTATCAACATGATAATTACAGACTCTGATGGTATGCATGTTCGCTCGAGTAAGTGGAACACGCTTGTCCTCAGGACCATAGTCATCAAATTCAAAGTCTGCATCCTTGAAATCTTGACGAGGCCTTGTTTCTCCAAAACAAATCTCGTAGATAGCCCAAGTTACATCACGTTGTTCACAATGACCAAGTTCTTGATCATGTCCAGCAATGATCTTGACATATCCACCTGGTGCCAATCTAGCCATCACTGCAAGATTCTCCCAATCATTGAAACAAACTGTCCAATTCTTTTGCTCAATAAATTCCTTGGCAGGAACAAGAAGATGAGCTTCCTGGAGAATCACGACATGTGCACGTAAAAAGAAAAGCATATTGAAGAAAAGGTTGTTCTCAAATTGCTCATTCTGAAGTGACATGGCGCTCTGTTTGCGTGGCTTCATTGCACCATCAAGTCCTTGGAGAAACCTTGGTGTGGTGTACTTCTGACCACGAACCATGTTGCCATAGTTCCAGGATAAAAATGTCAAGGACTCTGAGCTGGCCAATAAGTTAGTTCCATATGGTTCTTCTATTCTTCCTTTGAGGAACCTTCTGCACAGCTCTTCATAGAAGGTGACAAAGTCCCAACTGGGTCCCTTGGGACCGTATGATTCCAGTTCCTTCTTGAGTTCCTTCTTCGTATCCTCCAATTCTTCTCGAGCATGACCTGCCCTTTCAAGGGCCCTTGGATCGACCTGATACCTGCCATCCAAATAAATGATGCGGTCATCATTGATGAAGAATCTCCTCAAATCATGCCCTCGTTCATGTTCATAACAAACAGGTGGAGGTACTGGACAGACATTTCGAATGGATCGAACAAAATCATTCTCGTTGATCCTTGACTGATAATGAGGATGGGAAATCTCACCTTTTCTGAAACAAACATGATTCAGCAATCTTGCATGAGTTTCCCTGAAGCGTAGTTGATAAAAGCCAATACCTGGATCTCCTGTAAGCTCTCCAAGCAACTTCAAAGGTGAAGTATGCAACTCATAGGTATTGTCAGCTTTTGTTGTATCCTTTTCAACAACTACTTCAGATGGAAAAGATTCTTGGACTTCAGCCTCCAATTTCTTCTCTCCATCATCCTCTCTGACCTCTTTTATTTTCTCCACCGCCTCTTTCTTCTCTTCCATGGTTGCATCATCCTGAACTTCTTCATGAAAATGAGGATCAGGAATCTTATTCAGGCGGCCTTTCTTAGATTTCCGTTGACCTGAAGTATCATCAAGGTTAGCATCCATCTCACCTGATGGTAAGTGCGATGCAGTCGAGTCCTCACCTATCTCTCTTGACAGAAAGTGTGGTGTTGACTCTTCCTTGGCTTCCTCCTGGTCAACTTCCATCTTTGGTTCCTCTGAAGGAAAAACACCTGCTTCAAAAGCTTGTTCTGCAACACCCTTGGTGAGCAAGTCCTCTACAAGATTTTCTCCCTTGGTTCTTGGTAGAGGTCCTGAGGTCTCATAAAAATCTGTCCTCTCTGAACTGAAAGCTTCTGTCGCCTTCTCATTGTCCTTTTGATCCCTGAACAGGTGAGTAATCTTCACAGCTTCTCCCTGTAGCACCTGATCACCTCCTCTGTACTTGTCGACAATGGAGCGCCATACTGGAACATCATCATCATCAAAATCAAGCTCCATATCATCTGCCAACAGGTATGAGATGTTTTGAGCTGCCTGTTCTTCTTCTTCATCACGTTCCTTGGCAAGCTCCTCATCCTTCTGGATCTTGAAGATACCCTTCAGGATGTCTTGTAGTACCCTTAAGTTCAGCTTCGATGATGGCTCATACGCCCCTGAACTTACAGGCTCAACTACAACACGAGAGCAAGAAATCGCCTCCAAAAACTTGGAATTATATTGGCGTTCAAACTCTTCCTTTTTGATCATCTCATACAAGGGATCAGAAACTGCAACACGCGCTTGAACATAATCACGAAGTTGATAACATGCATGTTGCACAAATCTACTGTTGGAGTTGTGAAGAAAACTCTCCAAATGGTTTCTGTCACGGTCAATCAAATACCACACAATCCTTGCAGAAA